TACGACCTATTTCTGGTAATGAAAGTCACCGGAAATCACTGCTCTTGTTTACGAGACAAATTGCCATTTTATGAAAAATCATCGTTATTCTTTTTTGATTCACATCGAATTTCAATAGAAATCTCATCACTCAGACGACCGAATGCTTTTAGAACATGCTGTTTCATACTTCAAGTAGCACTGGTTTATTTTTTCCTTTCTTTGAAATCTTAGGCAATTAAATAATTAGAAATGTCTTTGCAAAAATGATAAACAACATCATTAAATGCAATCTCAACCCTTGAGCATCGATAGAAAACGATTCTTTAATTTAAAGAGCACTCCAGTCCTCAACAATTTTGTAAATAACCTAGTGAGATATGCAACCGCTCTCTTTGCAAAGAGCTTGTTATATGACAAGGTTCTTAATAAACACATTCTGTGCAACCCAGGAAAGATTAATGCTTGTAAATTTTATCTTGTCATCTGAACAACGATTGTTACGGCCGACTGGTGGACTCTAGTCTTCCTCCATTGAATTGCCACGTCACTGCCTCTGTATCGGTTTTGATCGCACCGTCTTTGTGGGCAATACATAAACCTTTTGTTAATTTAGAATATATCCATGACAAGGCTCTGGATACCTATTTTTCGTTATTGTTTATTCCATTTATAGGTTTAAAGTTATGCTCCATCGTTTGTACATTGTTTTGTGATCCGGGGTGCTTGTGTCATTGAAATGGTGTTGAAATCTCTAGAAGACATTCAAGTTTTATATAAAGCACTTTAAATCATAACAATGATGTAGGCTGACTGTTGAAACCGTCATAAATCCACACCATTATCACTTTTCCTGACCACTTTGCTTCAGAATGGGTGTTAAAATATATTCCATTAACGCCTCACTCGAAATTGTTTGAAAAGTTTTTCAAAAATACTTACCTAAGAACTTCAGCATGAAAGAAAATTAATATCTGTTTGAAAACTGAAGTTTTATTATGTTGTATTTTTTTAAATTACTTTCATTTCTGAAATATTATTAGCACAAATTTTATCCATAAATCAGGAAATTCATTCTTGGTGTAAAGTTTATGAAAAAGATTTAATAATAATAATAGATTGATATTTTCAGGATATTATATGCTATACAGAATAACAACTTTCAATTTTGATTTAGAAGGTTTTTAGTATTTATTATTCTAAAAATGGTATTTAACCGTTAAATGCCGTTAAAAGAATTCTGTATCTAAAAATACGTCAATTACATGTATTTCAATATTCAAGTGAATGATCGTCCCCAATTAATAAACTCTGCTATATTAATTTACAGCGATCCATTACCAAAGATGATTATCTACTATACCTGAAGTTTTTTTTTATTTCAAGAAAGACGAACACTTTCTTGCTTTAGCAAGTTGCTGTTGTCCTCTTTATAACTTTCCATCCCATATTTAACGGTGAAAATACATGTATACAAAACGTTTTGTAGATGTGCTGAAAGAGTAAATTTACATACAACAGTCATTGCCAGAAATATAAAATCAAATTACACTGACACGTGATATCATTCCAACCAATGGTATCAATTACATTGTTCGTTAAGATCAAGACAGTGTCTTTCACAGACAATGTTTCATATCATTGCGATAGGTGTTCAAAAGTCGTATGTACTTTTTTTTAACTGACAGGCAGAACGTATTTTTGTTATTGTTCTGATAAGAATGGAATGGAATGAAATCTAACACACCAAGAAGGTTAGTCGCTTTGTTTCATTCGGCGACTTAATTAATTACCTCCAGCAAGTGAAAGGTACCCGAGTTTTACTTGCATTTTCCTGCCTGTTTCCAAGCGACAGCGATAAGGTTGTTAAGGCGAAGAGAATTAACACCCCAGATCTGGACGGCTAATTTTTAATATCGGAACAATAAGATTAATAGAAAAGATTAAATTTTTCAACAGGGTATATGAAAAAACGTTATACGTTTAAATCTTTATGCTAGGCCCTGTTCTTAGTCAATGTGCATTTTTAATCCCTTAATGCACAAACTGTTGTCACAGTGCAGTGGGATTGTTCGTCAGTCGTCTAGCTGCACCTAGATACCTTAAACAATATAGAAGTATATATGGTACCGTGCAGTCCATCCCTTTGTATACTTTGGTGAGTGATACTAGACTGATATATCATTGATCTTTAAGTGCCATATTCAATACCTGTGCTTACCGGTGATTCTCTTGCACGGAATGTAAGTAGGTTATTTAGCTGGGACTTCATATTCCAGGAGCGATAGCACCTCGTTTGTGAAACATTACGCGATGTTGTTGAAATATTATTGAAAGTATTTTGTTATACACCTTGTTTACGTTGGACAGGTGTCATGATGATAAAAAATTTTCATCAATTTTATTGTAGAAAATAGGACGTATTGTTTCACCAACAAAACATATGTTTACTAATGATCGATTTTATCCATTCAATATTTTTACTGCTTAGATATTTCATATTTCATCCTCTGTTAGTCTATTCTGTTGGAGAGTTGGAGCATGTAATAAGAACTAGTTCACTGTATAAAATGTTTCGTGATTTATCTGTGGGGTAAAGGTATGATGGCCCATATATATGATTAATTAATATGGCTCACTATTCTGCCACAAGTCTGACACCAAGAACTTTATTTTTATCCAAAGACTTCTTTGTAATGAAGACATTTTAATACCCAAGTAGGGGGTCCATCCATTTACTTTTATTATTCATTTGCAGGCACGACGGGGTGTGCTTAAAATCTTTTCTTTATAACAGACAGCCATCTGTACACATTGGTCTACAAAGGATTAATTATACCAATCAATAAGAAAAGTTGCCCAGGATTATTTCATAAAAGCCTAAGATTTTTTTTATTTGAAAATGATCTATTGGTTATATTTTAGGATTAAAGATTGATTTGAAAAAGTGAATTTTTTTTCAGAATAATCACTATTAAATTTTAGACAACATTTTGGACATAAAAGTCCAGTTCAATACTGACTTGAACTAACTTGACCTTTGAATTTGACCTACTTTTGAAAAAAAAACTTAAACCGTTGTCATAACTTTTAAATGGTTAGTGCAAGGGCTTCCATATATCACATATTCCTTGTGAGAAGATCTTTCTATGGGTTCCAAAATTTTTGACCTCTTGACCTTGGAATTTGACTTGAATTTGAGAATTTTTAACCTTGGCCATAGCTGTCATACGGAACCATCAGTGCATGTTTCACAAACGCATCTTGTTTAAAAAAAAAACAATAAAACCGAAATCAAATTCAGTTTTCCTGTCAACCAATTATAAGAAATTACAGGATAGCTATATATAATGCATCATAGCAATAAACTCAACAAATGTGCTTCATTTTAACTTTTTGATAATTTTTCGTGTTATTTCTATGAAGTTCACAGTTTTTGCGAAGTTCATAGATTTAGATTTCAACAATTATTGGAAAAAGTACTCATCTATGGCACGTGATTCCACCTCTGATGTTTTTTTTAGAAGTTCGTGTTTGCTCTGTTTAAAATTTGTATTGTTTCAATGGATTTTTGAGCTTGATTACCGTTTGTTATCTTCATATTTCATTTCAACCCCTACATCATCTTCCTAGCCCACATTCATAAAAGTTGAACAAATATATAAAATCCAAAAACAAATATCTGAATCGTTTTAGATTGAAAATGGATATTCTTTATTAAGATATACTGGGTTAATAACGTAGGTTATTTTATTGTCTTTGAGCTAAGTATGATCCCACCTCTCTTTTACTGCAAGTTTATGACACTCCTGTTTATGAGGTTGGCCGAGTTTTTCTTCTGTCAGTAGAGTATCTGTCCTATATTGATCAGCTAAAAACCCCACAGCGATACCCCATTACCGTACATAGAGACGCCGATGATTATTTAACATGAATATTTTATCATTATATTGGTAGCTGCAAATGAAGCATTTCTAAACAATACATTAGCTACCTGTGAAGTAGATACAAATAGTCTCTGTGTACATATCATCCAGATCTGAAATGTTGAGGATTTTTGAATTTACCGCCATGGACAACTTTAGTATTTATACTGAAATAATTTCTCTTATTCTTTACAAAAAGCATATATCAAATATTAGAGAACATTTGAGAAGTTTGAATAAAAGTAGCTGTTTCTTTATAAATATGCAATATATTTTGCACTTTTTTTTCTTTCTAGGGATCTATATGCTGTTCGTTCTCTATAATCATTGTTTTAGAGGGTAATTCTTTTTTAAGTCTATATTTATCTTGTATATAACATAGACTAAAACAATACACTTTTGTCATAGAATATATTTCTTTTTTCAGCAAATGAAAGAATAGTTGATATCAGTAACTTATTTTTCTTGAGAAATCTTATAAATATTCATTGCATTCTCAGACAAATTATTATATCAGAAAACTCTTATGTATTAAAAATATCAACCGTATTAATAATTAAAATTTAAACAGAGTAAACGTGAAATTCCTTAACAGTATACCATACATTATCCAGGTATAAGCCGCATTGATCGTTTACTTATTTATTAATGGATTTATCCGATTAAACAGTGCTTATCCTGTTAAATTTGATATCGCTCCCTCGTTGAATTTAATACTTTTACCTTCATCTTATTTTCTGAAATTTGTTTGTTAAATGAATTCACATCATTTTCTTGGTTAAAGACTTAATATTGTGTAAACAACTTGGCTTTACTTTCGTGTGGTTTTCTGTGGCTTTTTCGTTTTTTATTTCTCAATAAGGTTTTTAAAAAAAGATTGATAATGCTTCAATTTAAAGAGGCAGGTGTCCCAAAACGGATTATGTGCGGGTCAAAAGGTTGCACATGCATGTCTGTAGTTTGCTCATTCGGATTAAACGTAACCAGGGACGCTATCAGAGAACTTGTTAGCGGCAATGTTCACATTCGGGGGAAAACAACTAACCATTCACTTCATTTATAATTAATGACATGACAAAGTTTTACACGAATGAAATTCTTTCTCTTTCAGAATCTTGTTCTGGAAATAAGCACGTGACAGGTTGCTAGGTGCATTTCTATGACAACGTATCTTCCCTGTTTCTGAAAAAAATTGTGTATACAGTAGAATTCGTCATCGAGAACTGAGTTCCTTTATTTAAATAATCAACCTTTGGATAACTTATCAACATGAGCAGGTAAGTTCTCAATTTACTTATCAAGAATAGAAAGTGATTTGAAGAGAAGTAAAATTTCTAAATGTTTTGCTCTACCTATGTTTTATTTGTTCTACTTTGTTCACTTAGAAAGTGAATGATGCTTTACCGGTACTTGATAAGAGCATACAACCTCTGAAACTATTTCTATCACTACAAAACATGATGACAAGAACGCAGTATGGTATTTTTCCCTTAAAATCATATTGAACATTACATTTTTTATATCACAAATTATTTCAAAATTTAGCATAAGCTATTCAGTCTACCTAACCCAGATTAGTGTACAATGCACGTCATTTTCAATTTTAGGTTGAAATGATAATCGAAAATATCATTCATCGTTAATATATTACCTGCCATTTATATAACAAAGCTCTATCAAAGTGGGGGATATGGATTACCTGAAGTAACTATTGGTAGTTTTGTCGAGATTTTCAAACAAATTGAATTTAGTCATTGAAGTTATGTACATAATTGGACTTTATTGAACCCACGATTCATCTAAATATTTTTTTCAAATGAGCGATGATCGGTATGAATGGTATGTCTCATATAAAAGATAAAAACAGCATTGTTTTGTGCTTCTCAGCACAAAACATTCAATAAAGTTATCCCAAATGGACCTGATCCGTACGATCTATATTATTAACTATATTCATCAGATGACAATTCTTTATCTATCTGTACTCTGTCTGTAGGTACAGTAAGTAAATTTTCATTTCATCACACATGAACAATGGTGCAATAGTTGGAAATTTCTTTGAAGAAAAAAAATGAATCTCAGTGCGTGTATGCAAATGGAAATGTGTGTGTGTGTTTTTTTTTTTTAGATTGGGATACAACGATTACAACATCATGCGCTCACGAAGTGCCACACCTCTTACCCCGGAAATGTCCAAGATCCTTCCTTACGTAACCGATAAAACCATTTCCCGCCATCTAGGGTATGCTGGAAGGTCTCTGGACATGGGACATGCCAAAGCTTACTACAACCCTGCCAGGTAAGTCCACAGATAGACTTTCTCTGTTTCTATATGTTTTCTAAATCGAAAAATTTTAGTTTCCCTCCAATAAAGATGTATAAAAGAGAAATGAAATTCTATTCAAATATTGATTGTAAATAAAAAAGTTAAAAACTGCATCATGCTAGTGATTGCTCCTTATACGAAGAGCAATATGAAATGTTTAGTGCAAAAGTAAGGCCATTTTCTTTACCTCAATCATTCCAATTCTATAACCAAAAGTTCCCAAGTGACATAATCAACGCTTAATTTAATATTATACCTGCAATTGTTCTATCTGACCAGAAATGCCGTTTACTCTCGCTACTCCACCAACGACTGGGGTATGTCCAACAGCATGAACTACTCTCTGTCTGACAAGGAGAGGTCGTTCGCCGAGAGGCTGAGGGCTGATGCCTGGAGAGCGGTCAAGGAGACAGATGCCAGGACCCGTAACAGGCAGAACGACATCACCAAGAAACTAGGTAAGAGATCTAATGGGGTAGATAGCTGAAAACTTTGTCTATAGCAATGGAAAAACAATATTAAAAGGTTACTATTTCCTAACATAGACAAACTCAACGAATAAATGTATCTTTCTAGAACTATATGCATGGATAGTAAATTGTAAAAAGCGAGAAAGTAGATTTAACATTAAAAAGTAAAATCGAATAGTTTCTTTATCATCTCTTTTCAACATAAACTGTATGTTCAATAAGAATAATGATAAATATTTCATTTTTCTTCTCTTTTTCCGTTTCTTTTCTGACTCTGAAATTGAATAGGTGAACGTGTCAGCGACATAGCGTTTTGGAAGAGTGAATTAAATACTGAAATTAATCAATTGGCCACGGAGAGTCAAAATTTAGAGGTATCAATGTAGACGGGTCTACGGTTGCATGATGAGTAGCCCGTTCTTCTTTCCTTTGACTGCTGCTTCCCTCCAACATGGTGGATGTGTAGAAAACTGGTGTATTGTCGCAAATTTGAATTTTAATATCTTTTACATTTTTGAAATGTAAGGGAGATAAATTCAGATTTCGCAAATGCGTGAACATAAATATTTCAAAAATATATGCAAAGTTTCTCATCCATAATGATCGACTGGTGGTTAAATATTGATACTTTGCTTCAAAGGATTGTTTCCACTTAAAGTAAATGAAGGAAACTTGCATCCTTTTGGAATATTTATGATAGGTGATTGTTTTAGTTCATCCACCATGTTATTACATCCATTTTATTTCATCAGGGGAACGAGTATATGACATTGCATTCTGGAAAAGTGAACTTAACAACGAGGTTAATGCCATGGCTACAGAAATTGAAAACTTGAAGGTAAACCGAAATTAGAACAAACCTCCCAATGTCTAGCAGTTTACACGAAAACACCTTATTTTGTTTTAACTGTCATGGCAAAAATAAAGTTCACTCTATCTTCATGTCTTCTGGATTTTCACAGTAATATAGCTTGTATATTGTCATTATAGAAGAGCTCGACAATGGACAAATTTTATTTTTTTTAATTTTTTTTTTTTTTTTACATTTATACACCTTTTATCGAAATATATAAGAAGATATTTTCGAGAAGTTAAGGGTATATCTTCCTTCAGATTTGTATTCAAAATTGAAGAACATGGGTGTGGGAAATGTTTTTTTGTCCCTAATACCATAGAATCGGCCTTATTGTGGATAAGGGAGTCTAATAAGCGAAAGGGGAGTTTATAACCATGGGTAGCCTCAGCTGCTTTTCATTAACAGTTCTGATAAAATGTGTGCGCTCATGTTTTACAGTAATATTTCTGTATATAATATACAAAGGGGCTTAATTTTAATGAAGATATACCACTACTATACTTGCACTCTGCTTCTACTAACTCTGTTATATTTCTGCTTGGTATACATATATATTTGTGTTTCTGTACATTTTACTACAGTAACTATAATAACTCAACAAGATACCTATCAATTAATGTGAAAGGGAAAGGAGATTTAAATTATTATTTTGGTAAAAGTGTGAATCTATAGATGATAACATATCTTAAGGGTGAAGGTAACTGCTTGTTTTACAGCCTTCTTCTGTAAATGGTATTAGCTTTTAAGCAATTTAAAACAATCTTAGCAACACATTAAATACATTTACAATGAAATCTTGCTTAACTGAAAGCATTATAAAGTTTATATCATATTAAAACATAACAGATTCCTTTATTACATGAAGAAATATCATCCATAATTCCGAAAGAATGTACAATCGTGTTTTAAGAAGGTTGAAACTGCGAGATTCGTTGGTAAAACATGTGTAATACATTTATTTATACAATTTATATTAACGTAATCTTAAAGCAGTGTACTGCAATGTAAGATTATTTATATAACATTTTGGGTGATTGAGTTGCTAAATTTAATAAAATGTTCTTAATAGATAGAAATGTCACATTAGTCATAGCATATCACGTATCGCATCAAGAGAAATACATAAAAAAAATTACCAATCTAGAAAAAATTGTAGCGATTAAACATGAAATACCTTGTTTTTTCTCATTAAGCGAGGATTTCCTTTTTAAAATTTTGCAAAACTGTCAAATTATTTGAGCATGTAGACTTAATGTTAAATAAGTAAATTAAAGTAAAATAAAACAGCTGTTTTTTTTAACCTTAGGAGTACCGCCGTACTTTGGAGAAAGCCCTTGGGGACACTGCCAACCCTCTCCACATTGCCGAGGAATGTCTGATGCATCGTGAAAAACGTCAGGGAATCGACCTTGTTCATGATGACGTAGAACGCACACTCATCAAGGTAGGATTCTGAAAGAATTTGAATGAGTTATTGATATATTTGAGACCAAAATGAAAAATTAAACCTTGTACAATTCCCTCTGTAGCATGTGGAAGAGAAAGATAGACGTTACATTTGTATAACGTGTACCACACCTACTATTGAGTGTTTATACACTTTTCCTAAATAAATCTTCATTTTCTATTTTTCAAATAGGCAAATTGTAGGGTTAAATGCAAGTTTTGATAAATTATCAGTATATACTCGATATCTACTTTCAGGAAGTCGATATCATTAAGAAGTGTCAGGCCAAGATGAAGAAGGTGTTGGACAAGGCATACGTTCAGCTGAAGATGAATCGCGCCGCCCAACACGCTATGGAGATTGATGCCAAGGACAAGCATCATGCCCAGAATCTGGACGATAGGATGCAGCAGCTCAGAAACTCCTCTGCAGGAATTGGTTACTTCCCAGGAATCGAGAACATTGACAACACGTATGTTTTGATCCCTTTCATTAGTTCATGATTGGCGTCTAAGTGTGAACGTATTTTCATGTTTGTCTTTGACTTAATTTGACCATGTGTTTCTTCTTGACTTTCAAGCTGAATTGTAATCAAACATTTAAAAAAGAAGTGGGTTTTGATAGCAGAGATTTCCAGATTTTAAAAATTTACTTCACTTGTATTGGTTAAAAAACTCCAAAAACATGCATACCTTAAACTGAACCATTCCACCGTTTTGTGTTACAGAATTACAATCCCGGATTCCTGGGTGAGATATACTCAGGAGAATATCGCCAGGTCCCAGAAAGAACGTGCTGCCTCCGAGCGCCTGAGAGGTGAAATCGACAGCACTCTGCGAGCATGCGCCAACGAGATGTGGAACAACTTCAACTCTGTCAACAATGCTTACAACACCAGAATCAGAGAGACAACCGATGCCAGGAACAAACTACAGGCTCATTTGCAGAGAGTAAGATAACTTTTGACTTAAAACACAACATTAAGTTACAGAAAAAAGGGAATACCCAATAATGAGTGTTGTACTTAATGTATTTGAATGATATTAGTATTTCTATGTAATTTTTCTATGAAAAGGATTCAAAGATATATTCCATAGAAATACTAATATCGCTAATCAATGGTCGCACAAAATAGTCTTGACCTACATGTATGCCTGCATAAAATTCTGAAAATGTCTAAGTGAATACAGGTACTATTCAAACCGTTGTTAGGCTAGTTAGACTGAAGACATTTTTTTTTATCCTCAGTTGAGAAAGCCATTTGTAAGCATTAAAATATTTCACAAGTAAATGTTTTGTTTTGTAGACTATGCAGGAGATCTTCGATATGGAGAAGAATATCGAGTTGCTGCGTAAGGCGATCCAGGACAAGGAAATGCCAATGAAGGTGGCCCAGACTCGTCTTGATGAGAGAACTAGACGTATCAACGTTGAGCTCTGCAATGATCCAGTCATGAAATCGTACGTAGAGGCATCTTAACGTTTACAAAATACAGCCAATAGAATTTTATTCAATGACACAATATAGGTTTAAGTCATTATTAGTTTTGTCATTTTCTTTCCTTAATTAGAAATGATTATGGTGACACTGACTTTTTTCAAAAAAGTTCTGGAAGTTTGACATCATTATATTATATTAGCATAGCTTACTATAATAGAACAAGTATTTGTTGACTGTGTTACATTATTTTCTAACAGACTCCAGAGAGAGGTAACCGAGATTAGAGAATCAGTAAGGATCCTCAAGGAGAGGCTAAAGGCCTCTGAGCTCAGTTTAGCTCGCCTGATGAAGACAAAGGCTACATTGGAGCATGACATCGGAGTCAAGGATAACACAATTAAGATTGACCAGTCTTATTGTATGGGAATGCGCAAGGGTTTTCCTATGGACCCTAAAATCGGTCCAGTTTTTCAAATGCCAACATGCTAGGTAATATTTTATAAAAATAATATTTATATTTAGGAACAATTATGCATCAACGTTATTGGACACCGACTTCAACTATCCAGTGAACCCATTTCTACAAATTATACTCTCTGTTATGAATCATGTATTATCAATAACATGTCAATGTTAATTTATGAAAAGACGATCGGGAATTTAGGACATGTTCCTTTTGTTTCGAATACTATTAGAGTAAAAACTTACTTATCATGAAAATGCATAAGACATCTTGATTTGAAGTGATTTTCCTAGTTTGCTGTCTGAGAATGATATAAAAAGGAATGCATTGTCCTAAATTTTCAAGGCATACACAATAACTATACACCGTGTTTTGTCTATCGATGATATGTTCGATGTCTGTCATGATCTTTTTTTTTTTTAAAAATTTCATTGTCGCAAATTCAATTTGCATTTGTTGTTTTTTTTAATATCATTTGTTATGTGCTCATTGTTTTACATATGTGATATCAGTATGTTTGCCACTTGAAGTAATTTATTAGCTAACTAGTTATAGTTCTAATGTTATTTTTTTTTTTTAATTTTACAACTGATGATTTAAATGAAATAGTTTTTGTTATTTTGCTTTGACTATCTAGTTTGTTTCTCTTTTTTGGAATAATGAAGACAGTATTTTCCAGCTAAAAGATTTTTATGTGCTACTGTTGTTTCTCTCAAATTTATACATTTGGGCAATCAAATAGTTTTTACGATTGTTATGTATGTTTGTTAATGAAAATATGATATAAATATTTCTTTTTATTGCCAATTTTATATTATACCACATATGTATGATTGTATGTTTCTGGGGTTAAGGATGTACTAATTTATCACAACATGTCTGAAAATGCAAATATTCTTTGAATACCGAATCCGATCAAATTACAGGTGATTCACGAACATTTATTTATTTAAACCATATCAGTATTAAGGTGTTCTGCAGAGTATTAGAATTGCTCAAAGAGATTAATTCAGAGCCCCTTGCCATCAGTGACTGTGATAGGTGCGGTTGGTTGTTAATTCTTGTATATACCGTGGTAGCGCACACAGTAATGTAATGCTTATGTTGTTTGCACAAATAAAAAAAACTCTATATAAAAATCAGAAATGCTGTGTTTGTTTTTGTAATCTTAGTAAATATTTAATGGAATCGGTAATAATTGAAATAAAGAAATAAGAAAGTGTTTGCGAAATTAAATTTGAAAATGAGAAATTTTGTTTAATCAAATAAAAACATTGTTTAATTCTTACTCCCTACCACCAAGGAACAATTTTATTTAATGTATGAAACGGTGACATATTCCTCCCCTGCCATGGGCACTGTCATGTTCACGTTTCACAGGAACTGGCGGTCACTCAATATAAATAAAGCATTAATTAATTCATAACATGTCTTATGTTCAAAAGTTATAGATCAAAAAATCTTTGTCAAACTGAAGAAAATTATGTATTTTCGATTTTTCTCAAGTAATCCCTTTTCTATATACATGTAAACAATTATGATAGATAACAATATTGTGGCAAAATTATGTAGCACGGAAAGAACAGAAAAAGGATCTTATTTTCCAATGACACAGCTACATGTATAACTGTAAGGCTGTTGGTTTAATTGGTTTAAAGGTAGACGTAAGCAATATCACCTAATGCTATTATATTCATTTTAGCCGATAAGAATGCTCTTATATACCAGACTTCGATGCTCAGTTATAAAAGTTAAGGCCATTCATTTGCTCATTGAAATTGATATCAACTAAATATTTCATTTATTTGTTACCACATTCAAGGAACTGAAAACACACTTCGCTATTCTAGCGATCTTTCGTCTCAAATGGCAATAGACTGAATGGTTTATTACAGGTAGAACCTTACTTACATTGACACTAGCTCATTAACATCGCGAAAAAAAAAAATATCACAGATTTTAAACAAGAGGCCCATGGGCCACATTGCTCACCTGAGCACATTGGCTGGGCAAAAGCACAAATCAGTTCAATATTGAAAAGATTACCGGGGGGGGGGGGGGGGCTTGAATTTTAAACTACCTGATGATGCTTCCATGTCAATATAACAAATAGCTTTGTTGTACTTGAGAAGATTTTTAAAAAAAATTCCCATATATTCCTTCGTAAAAATTTGATCCCCCATTGTGGCTCCTCTCTATCCAAGGGGTCATCATTTGAACAAACTTGAATCTACACTACCTGAGGATAATTCCATATCAATATGACTAAACATAGCTTTTCTGTTCTTGAGAAGAAATATTTTTCTATATATTCTTATGTAAAACTTTTGATCCCCCATTGGGCCCCACCCTACCCCCAGGGGTCATGATTTGATCAAACTTGAATCTACACTATCTGAGGATGCTTCCACATAAATGATTCATCATGGCTTTGCTGTTCTTGAGAAGAAGATTTTTAAAGATTTTTCCTATATATTTCTATGTAAAACTTTGATCCTCCATTGTGGCCCCGCCCTACCCCCAGGGGTCATGATTTGAACAAACTTGAATCTACACTACCTGAGGATGCTTCCACATGAGTTTCATCTTTCCTGGTCCTGTGGTTCTTGAGAAGAAGATTTTTAAAAGATGCTATTAATTTTTCACTAATTCTTTATTATCTCCCCTTGAAAGAGGGCGTGGCCCTTCATTTGAACAAACTTGAATCCCCTTCACCCAAGGATGCTTTGTGGCAAGTTTGGTTGAAATTGGCCCAGTGGTTCTTGAGAAGAAGTCGAAAATGTGAAAAGTTTACCGATAGAAGGACGGACAGACGAACTACAGACAAAATGTAATCAGAAAAGCTCACTTGAGCTTTCAGCTCAGGTGAGCTAAAAAGAAGTGCAAAGATATTATGAGTGTCTTTTTGAATTCTTTAATAAATTATATGAATGAAAAAAAATGTCTTCTACAAAAAGATTATCAATTTAAATTTGTATATGACAATTGATCTTATCTACAGAATGGATTATGGGCATAAGACACTTTTCAAATAGCCTTCTCCCGAGAATGGAGAAATTTTGTTCCAAATAATAAAAACTTTCATAAATAGAGTCACAAGATCATCCTGTCATTTTTTTTTTTTTTTTTTTTTTTTTTTTTTTTTTTTTTTTTTTGTATTTACCGTCATCCAGTAAATTCAAAAATACAAAATGACAATCTGGTTCCTTAAAAATACAACTTAAAAATTCTGTCACACAAGTATTGATCTTCTTTGCATGCATTAATTCTTGATAACGACGTAATATTTCAAAAGTGGAAGTGTACTTATCTACATGTATTAGCCTCGATTGGTGCAATAATTGTTACCTTTAATATGAACTAAGACATGTAAGAGAGATAACTACCATTCTTGTACTTACTTGTCCCGTCAGTGTACAATCAGTTGTCAAGTGACATGTTTTACCAAAAATTGAGGAAAGATCTTAAATGTATAGATATGTATAACAAGACACCGCAGTTCTAAAACAAACAATAAAAAGAAGGGACCCCCCCCCCCCCGAAAAAAAGTAATAGATCTAAAAAAAAAAAAAAAAAAAAAAAAAAGATTTATTGTGCTAGAACTGGAGAAAAGGAAGCTCTTATCTTACTAAATATAGTTCTTTTCAATCTTTTGGTATTAAGGACTGTCCCAGTTTTAAATTCAACATGTCTAAATTCATGCAACAAATGGTAAAATCCTTTTTCAACTGTACTTTAATACTAAATAAAGAAGGCGTACAAAACAAATTATCAAAACAAAAATTAATACTAATGCTAAATACACTTCGAGCAAACTTAAAGTCATATGTGGCGTATTTTTTGAAGTTGAGGTAACCAAAATTAAAAAGATCTTTCTATTTGTTTTATTACTTTATATAAAGATAGGACTTTCCTGTAATTTACACAATTTAAATCAATCGCATTTCAAAGTTATTAAAAATTTAAAACAATAACCGATTTATTTACCGACTCCACATTTAAATAAGAGACAAATTTAAAGTCAATTTAACTATAGAAACGTTAGGTTATTAAAGCTCAAAATCGGTGAAAATTTTAATTTGAACGTAAATAACATATATCATGTACATTTACACTCAATCTCGTATTATTATTTTTCAAGCTCAGATACGCCATATATAGATTTAACTGTTAAAAGAATTCCTTCCGCACTATCATTATTTCTTAGCTAAAATTACTTTTATTTTGAACCAATCAATGAAGAGATCTTTTAATATATTATTCTTGAAATATAAATTCCATTTTTTTTGGTCTTTTTTGTAGGCATTTGCGAGAAAAAGGAAATACAAATGCACCCAACATACTTTTTGAAGGATTTTTACCCCAAAAAGAAAAAAAAACTCAAAAGACTATGTTAATTTATATTTGATATATAAGTTTCCAAGTAACTATTTAATGCAATTAGTAACAATTAAATTGAATGAAGAATCAAGAAAGTGTTTGCAAAATTAAATTCGATAGTAAAACAACATTGGATTTCGGTTATTAAGAAATGGACTTCAAAATCAAGCAAAGAATTTTAAACAGTGACTAGAATTGTAACATATAAAATTAATCTCAAAATCATTCAAAAGAACAATTTATTTAATGTCCAAAACAGTGACATATTCCTCCCCAGCAATGGGCACGGCCATGCTCACATGTCTCACAGGTATCGGCGGTCACACAATCTACAATAACAGGTATTGATTTATCAATAACATGTCTTATATACTCAAAATTATTTTATTTGGGGTCAAATTAAAGACTAATATACATTTGTTTTTCTCAAGTTATTCCCTATTCTATGTAAACATTTATATTATCATTTAAGATGATAATATTGTGTCAAAATTATGCAGCACAGGGAGAACAGAAAAAGGATTTTATTTTGTTTAATGTCACAAGGGACTAAAAGGCCGCCATTTCGAAATTGGTTTAAAAGGAAACGCGTAAGCAATAACACCTAAAATTATCAATCATAGTCTGTATATACAATAAGAATGCTTCTTGTATA